AGTTTTGTGTTAAAGTCACTTCCATAGAGTTTTGTCTGGTCTTCATTCGTGTTTATCTAGTAATATTCACAATAGCTTTCTTTCATATCGAAAATCATAATATTTTTTATTAGTTTTTAAGTTTTGGATTTTATAATATTTTAAATGGTTCGTTACTACTCCTGACGGCAAAAGTGATTAAACATTGAGCTTTCTCTTAAATTGTTTGCTACAAAGCTCTATATGTAAACCAATTGATTGTCTACTAAATTGATGTATATCAAGATCAAATTGACCCAATCGATGCCTAAAAACGAACAACTTTTGGGTTACCAATGGTAGAAAAGCATATGAGTTTTGCAATAAATACGTTTTGAGTAAAGACGTTTCTACTTGTTATTAATAAGTTCATTATACCCTATTAATAAAAACACATACGAATATTTTGAAAAAGCCATAAGAACGAATTTTCCTTGTCGAATATTTATATTTTGTTTTCATTTTGTTTTCTTTCGTACAGTTTTAGATTCTGAGTAGCCAAACTTGATTAGGGTATGAAGCTTTATTAGATGCAATATATGTTCGATCTATTGTTAGCATTAAAAATATTACATATCCCCATATTCTCTCAAGAGACTCAAAAGCGGAAAACTTTTTCGCCATTTTCAATAGATCCATATATGTCAAACGACAAGACATAATGAACTTATTAATAATACATAGGAACTTTTTCACTTAGAAAGTATTTAACCCAAAACTCTTATACTTTCCTATTCTTAGAAATTGAAAAATTGACATTTTTTTAGACATTGATTGCTCGATTTGACTATGACGAACATCAGTTCAAAGGATAATTAATTGGTCTACTTATTGAATTTAGTACGACAGAATTTCGGAGAACGTTACATGTTTGAATGCATTTATCTTTAGGAGTTTTATCGAATAATTTAAAACATCATAAAAGTACAAAATTATAGAAGCGAGTAGAAATGTTGAGGTTTTAAGTTTTCAAAGAAATCTATTGTATGTATTAGTAGACGTACACGATTGAACATGAGACAACATTTTATTTAAGTCACTTTAAACAAAATTGTATGTAAACGTTTTTGAAGACATACTGATTCCTAATACTTATTCATATCACTCACAATTGCAATAATATTCCTTGACTGATTTATGGCTTTTCAAACGATAAAAACTTGATAAAAAAGCAATTTCTTATATACCATTCCATATGGTAAAAGTTGCTCTATAAAACGATATGGAAATTTTTTCAAATAAAGAATAATTATCGTATTCGACAGGGCCCTTTATTTCGCTATTTATTAATGCTTTATTTATTTTTCTTCTAGTACTTAATCCTACATCGTCACTTATAAATACTCCGGTTACATCCCCTTATTCAAATATAAATACTAGTCGTTGTTCACCATCATCATCTAATGACATGTGCAATAATAATAATAATAATACTAATAATAATATGAATAATTCATCAATAATTAACAGTAGGCAATCATCACCACTTACAAATTCAACACAATCACATGCTGTACTTAAAAAACGTATTTTAAATGCATTAAAACAAGAAGCACAAGATGAACAACAAAATAATCAAATAATACCAGATTGTTCACCTTTTATGGAACAAAACAATGATCAAGATAAACAACAAATAAATATTGAAAATTCTTCCGAAGGTCCAACATCATCATTAATACTTAAAACAAACTCTGATACTAATAATACAACAGTCGATAAAACAACAAAAAAGTCAACATCAGGTTTTCTTATTATATCACCATCATCATCATCAACCGTTACAAATTCTTCCACATCAACATCATCAACTAATACACATTTTAATTATGAAAATCTTTCTTCAACTATTCCATCCAAAACATCCGATACTGTTACTACTACTACTAATAATAATACTAATAATTCTACTACTAGTTCATTTCAATGGCCATCACAAGTTTCACAATTTCGTCGATTACAAAATCTTAATATGGGTAGTCAAACACCAAATCCACTTCCAACAACACCTTATACACCACCACCAATGCTAAGTCCATTTCGAAAAGGTCCTGGTCTTTATTATCATGTTTTTTCTCAAACAACACCAGCTGTACAACAAACATCGACTGTATCAACACCTGTTCTACCATTTACACCAATACCTGATGAAATATCAGGACCAAAAATTAATATTGGAAAAGATTATCAAGCTATTATTCCGAACCTTGAAATGAAAATTGATAATGATGATACAGGTTTGTTTTTATAGTTTCGAAAAAAAAAATCTTTTTCTCCTTGTAAAATTTCATTCTCCGTATCATACAGATGTTTCTTTGATTTTACTTTAATTTTTGTCCTAAGTTCTGCTCTCAAAAATCGATCTTGGGTCAGAAATATTCAAGTCACATGGAATTTTCAGATCTATATCATGTTGTTTTCAGAAGATACATCCAACAAACAAAGATTCTTTGATAAAGCAAAATTCTTTGTGAATTTTCAGTCTATATAGTTAATTTTTCTTTCGTTTGAAAGTGTTTGTCAAGATTAAGACGATAAAAGTTCAATGATTAGAAAAATGATGCTCAAACTTTAAAAATACTCTTTTATATCATAGTGACAAAAGATTATTATCAAAAAAAGAACTCTATCATGGTCGGCATCTTGACATGTTCTTTAAAAAAAAGAAAAATAATCGATAGATTGAAAATCCATACAGAATTCTGAATTGCATGATCAAAACAGTGGACAATATTTTTTGCTTTTGTTTATGAAAAGAAGCATATATTTCAAGCAGGAAATAAGAAAAATCATCTAAAGTTTTTGAAGAAAGTGACGTACCAACTAAAAACTAATGTCATTTATGAAAGATCAAACCATAAATACTAATAAAGATGAATATGAAATAAATAATCCTGATTAGATGTGGATTATTATTGAGGGATATTGTTTCATTTTAACTATGAATTGAGAATTCTATATTATTATTTTTGTTGTTTTTTCTTATGTTTAACAGATCATGATGAATTATTATTTTCTCCATCTCAACTTTCATATCTTGATGAACAGTCACTTGAAAAATATGAACAATTAAGTCGAACAAATCCTTTACTATTTTCTCCACGTCATTCTCCAACATTATATCCAAGAGAATTAGTTTATATGTTATTACATGAATATAATGGTGATCTACAACGTACATTAGCTGCTTTACTTGATGGTACAGCTCAAGATATAAAACAATGTCGACCATTACAACGATATCATTTTCCTGAATGTGATATATGGACTAAAGAAGAAATTGATGCATTTACAAAAGCCATGGAAACATCAGAAAAAAATTTTCTACTTGTTAGTCGAGCAGTATGTTTCAGTTTTTTGTTTTTTAGTGTTTAATAATCAAAACAAGAACAAATATTTTGAATTCATTTGTTAAAGGTTGGAACAAAAAGTATAAAACAATGTATTGAATTTCATTATATGCCAAAAGTAAATCTCATGGGTCGAGAAACAGGAATGAATTTATTAACAGCTAAACGAAAACGATTACAAATGTTAAAAAATAAACAACAATTACAAAAACAAACATATGATGATGAAACATCGTTATCATTGAATGAATTTCGTTTAGTAAGTTATTTAAAAAATTCTAATAAAAGAATTTGGATTTCTTTACATGAAAATTTATTTAGGATGATGATGGTATAATAGTGAATAGTGATAATTCTTCAATCGCTCAGTTTTCCTGTGATATTGACGATTGTTTACAGGTAAAAAGTGTTTTAGTTTTTTTTTTTCTTTTTTGAGAAACACGATCTAAAGCGAGAGTTGAAGTATATAGAGCAGAAACAGGCCCGTAGCCAGGAATTTTTTAAGGGGGGAGCCCAATTCCAAATTTTTTTCTAAAGTTGCAAAAACCTTTCTCGTACGATTTCCAGTATCGATACTTTCGTTCTTAACATCTTAGATGCAGCTTTTTCGTTTTGTTTCATATTTCTTTCTTTGTTTTCTTTTATTAAGCAGATCCCAGAAAGATTCAATAATAAGTGTTACAGGAGAAAAGGTTAGGGGGGAGCCCGGGCCCCCCGGGCTCCCCCCTTGCCTACGGGCCTGAGCAGAAATTTGCACTCCCTTCTACTTTCAGACTGTGATAAACATTAAACAGAGATCATGACAGATCGTGTATCAATAATGTCTCGTTCTAATATTTGAACTATTTCTGTATTACATTTCTCGAGAATTAAATAAAAGGATGGTAGAAAAACATGTGTCCTGAAATAGATAGAATAAAGCAATCTCCTTGTGATTAGTAAGAGCAGCCATATTGTGTTTCATATTTTAGTTCCATAGGGTTTTGATGACAGCTTGTTATCTTTTATTTGTTTTTCTGTTTTCTGTTAGACATTTACAAGCGAGCGAGCATATCGGGCTCATCGTAATGATCATCGTCGTATAAAAAACAATATAACACCGTCAACAAATACAAAACGGAGTCGAAATCTTGATTTGAACAAGTGATGATAACACTCCTTTATTTTTCTTTCAAATTTTAATATATATACATATATATCCTTTGTTTTCCGTTTTGATTTTTTTTTGTTTATTTTTTTTCTTCTCGAACTATAACGACAGTGATTAGTCCTGATAAAGCAAACGAAAAATAGAAATACTATATATACATATGAGCAAAAAGAAAATATCTTTCTTTGATTTCTCTTTTGTGCATGTTTTGAATTAGATGCCTTATTATTTATCTGAAAAAGACAATAACGGTGAATTGGATCTCAGTGTATGTGCTTTGTGTTCTTCTAGTCAGATCTTTTTCTTTCTTTGTGTATGTTTTTTTTTCTCTTTACGTTCTCTCAGCTACCTCTAAACAGTTGGATGTAGTATTATTGTTTTCTTTCTTCTGCCATAAAAGCGTGTCTGTATTTGTTTTCTTTCCCTTCTTTTATTCTGTGTGTGAAACCGTTTATGTATGAAAAGAAAACTAAAAAGAATTATTAAGCAGCACTGTTTTGATTTGTTTCATAATCTTCTTCTTCATCCAATTGTTTATATTTTGTTTCTGGTAAGAGTAATGTTAACAAAACAACAATAACAGCTAAACCTGCTGATGCATAAAATGTATATGACAAATATTCATTACTAACAGATGCATTGATAATTGGTGCAACAATAGCACCAATACGACTAAATGCAATAAAAAATCCATTCGCACTACTTCTAATTGATGTTGGAAAAAGTTCAGGTACAAATATCCATGATACAGCAATAGCACCTGATACGGCAAATTTTCCGAATTGTGCAATAAATACAGTTGCAATTGGACTATATTTTAAAAGAATTGGTATAAGAATAACACAAATAGTTGTTAGAACTCCCATAAGAATAAATGAACCTTTACGAGCAAGTCTTGTTGATATAAGTAAAGAACCTGCTACATATCCAGCAGCTTCAACAGCAGCACCGATTAATATTCCTAAATATGGTGAAATACTCATTACAGCTAAACCATAACTTATTTTTATATAGAGCATTAGTGTTGTAAAACCAAGTAAAGCTGTAGTTAATAATTTCAAAACAGTTGATCGATGTGTAAGAATTCTATTAGCTTTTTGAGATAATGATAATTCATTAGTGCTTAATGATATAGCTGTTTGATTTTTTAAAAATTCTTGATAAACAGGATACCAATCTTCTTCTTTTCGTTTATTTGTAGTTGCTATTCGTCGTAACAATCCTTCCAGTTGAACATATTGACGTTTAGAATACATATATAATGGTGATTCAGGCATAAAATAAAGATATGGTATAACTAAGCCAATAAAAGCTGTATCAGCCCATTTAAGTATTTGCCAATCTTTTGCTAGATAAGCAAACAAAGTAACAATACCTTCACCAACTGCAAATGAAACAAGTGCAACATTTCCAGCTAAACTTGTATGTGCTGATGATGTTAACTCAAGAACTAGAATAAATATTAGACTAAATGCAGCAGCAGTAAGACCAGATGCAAATTGATTAAGCAATAAAAGAGCAAATCTAATAAAGAATTCAATGTTTTCAATCAAGAAAAATTAAAAATAACTTTACTTCTTTTCTACTGTCATGGGTGTCCATTGCATTATTATCTGAGTAATCAAACATGTTATAAATAGAAAAATAGTAACGACAGAAGTTGTTGTTTTTCGACCAAACTTATCAGCAAAGGTACCAATAATAAGTAATGCAAAACCACCGCATTGCATTAGAGTAGCTATCCAACTTTGTTTTGGTTTTCTAGCACAAACAAGATTTGCTTCTTCAGTAAATGTATATCCAAATACTGATCGATCATAAACCCATCCATTTGGACAATCAATAAGAGTATCATTCGGATATTCAGTTGAATAAAGAACACATTGTTCCCATTTTTTTCCATCTTTTGTTTTTGGTATATATGTATTTATGATTAGTTCATGTGTTATATTTATTGGATTATATTGTGTATCATTAGGCCATACATTAGCTGGTAGTCGACATCGATGGTCAGAATCAGCGACAGCAAAAACATAATAAAAGCCAGCAACTGCAGCACTCATAGAAATGAGATTAATAAAGAAATAGTGTATGAACTGAAATCGACCAAGATCACCACATTTTTGTAGAATCCTATCAAGAGAGATAGGTGTTGCTGCTAGATATGATATAGATGTATTAATATCAATGGGATCAGCCTAAAAATATGTATTTTGAATAAATTGAAACAAATTTATTTTGCTTACATGTAATTCTTCTTTAGTGGCATCAGCGTTCATAGAGTCCATTTCACTTTGTAATGTAGTGATGTTGTGTTCTTACTGTTGCCCTTGGTCAAAGGTAAGTTAGAAACTCGTGGTAAGATAATATTATCTTATCATATTCGTTATTTTCTTTATCTTGTTCTTTTGATATTGTTGACTATTAATTTACGTAGAAGAGAAAAAAAACTAGATGGCAAACGAATTCCACTCAATTGCGAAATGTGCTACGAAGCTACGAACGCCAATCATGGACACAATCGGTTTATCGTTTAATTATCTATATAATTCATTATTTATGGTCAGCTGTTCTTGAAGCTGAAATGAACAAATTTAGTTAATCAAACAGACTGATGTATAACTTATTCACTATCTTCATTTTCATTATGTTAAATGTTGAAAAACAACAAAATCCATAAAAAGAAAGAGCTCGTGATAAGCAAAATCGTCCGTACTCCCTCATAAAATATTACTTTTATCATACCTATTTTGTCATTTTCACTGTTAGAAATATTTGAAGAATAAAATCAAATATTCTAATGCATTCTATACTATATATTACATGACTAAGCTAAATGAGATTTAGCTATGTTTTACTCCCTTAAAAAGAGTAAGCCATAGATTTTTCATGAAAATTACTTCATTCATTTACTCGTATATTTAGTTGATCTATATAAAAAATTAAACTGTTTTAGTTCTCTGTTGAATGGCGCATGAACATATGGAGAACGATTATTCCTTGTTTTTCTTTACCTAAGATTATGATTGATGTCGCAAACCATTAATGAACTTCCATGACTAATATGACTTAGTCCTCTTTCACAAAGGTAGCAGTCCACTTTAAATTTCATATTAATTCATAGATTTGGACGAGATCTACCAAATAATGCTAACTACTCCACGAGAAAGAAGTGAAAGAGTATGCTTCTTTCATCACTCATTCAATTTTGACAACCTTTTCAATATGATGCTAATTGTACTAAGTCTACAATTTTTCGCGACATTAGATACTTGTGAATCAATGGTCATGGAAAAAACTGAATGAATGTAATATGATAAACAATGTTGAATTCATTTTAATGCATTTTCATTGATTTCAACTCATCAACACGATTGAAAAACGTAGATAGATAGTGACAAAAAGCTCTTCATGAGATACAATCGGATAAAAAAAAGCAAGGAATGAAAAAACGCAATATTATATTTCTTCAATAGCCGTTTGATTACATATTTTATCATTAAATTTTCATCCTTGTACAGACATTAACAGAAGAAAAAAATTGATGACACTCATACTAAAAATTGCTTTGTGCTTGTTGTTTTTCGTTGACTCCTTCGTTGTTACGTTATTAATGAACTTTATTTTATTGAACTTTCTTGATATCATAGTTGCATCTTCAGAAAAACCTGAAAAGAACCGCATAATTAACGTTATGGATAATGTTGGTTATTCGTGGAAGTAACTTCTGTGTTTGAATAAAGATATCAAGCATGCAATTCAATGATGGTGTGTTGTTTTTATTATCTTTTGTGTGAAGAAAGAAAGATTCATGTCTTCAATATCTCCACCGATTTTAGTTTAACAAATACCAGCGATTCTTTTCAGTATTTGTCAATTGTGTGTGAATATATGTATATAACTCTCTTTTACATGCATACAAGCAAAACATGGTCATCAATAAATGCATCTTTCTTAATATGTTTTCCATTGCTATACGTTTATAATAAACATAGTTCTAGTGATACATGTTTGTATAGAACAGGAGTTTTTCTCGTTAGCATTGTGATACACGTTTAAGAGCCTCCCCCTCAGAAAAAGCCAATTTTGGTCAAATGTATGGATTTTGTGATTTATAGCTCGTTAGTTACAGCAAAGTGCCTACTCTCGAATGCACTATAGTTTATTGATTTTATGATGAGATTTAAAGATATTACATAGGTTTTTCTGAGCCTTCATATATAGGAAAATCACGTTTTTTTCTGAAAAAGTATGATTTTTACGTTTCCGTCCTTTCCAGATTTCTCTGTCATTTTAAATGTCAGAAAGCTCGGCTTGGTGTCAAAATGAACGCAAAAATTAGCTCGACAACTTAACAGATCTGGATTTTTCGATTTCTCCATTAATGTTTGTAAAAAAAAACTAACTGTTATGGACCCACTTTCTCCTAGGTTTTCTGTATTTCATCCGAGGAGTTTTCTAGGAACACAAGATAAAAGGAAATCGAACGTTCGGCCCATGTTAAGCTGTAGAGCTAATTTTTTTTATTCATTTTGGCATCAACCCGAACTTTCTAGCATTTGAAATGGCGTAGAAATTTGGGTTTGGGTGTGGGTGTGGATGACAGTGTGAGTATTAGTATTCTCTTCATCTACACCCGCACCTACACATATACATACTAGTAAGTAAATGTCACATCTTCCACGGTCCGATTCACTTACTAAAATGATAGTTCAAATGATATCGTTCCTACTTATCATTAACGAATGCTTTATTTGATAGTAATATTTCAGCAATTATTTGACCCTTATAAGCAAAGAGATCGAATAGTTGAAGATAATATATAAATGCTGACAACCATATCATATACTATTATACATTACACAACCGCTGAGTTTGCACAATTGAAAACTTTACATCTTAGGAAAGGGCACTTCTCTAGAGCTAATTTTTATATCTTAGATGTATGTTAGTTTACTGTAGATACTCTGAACAAAATCAGTGTTAGAGATCTGTGTTTAGAGGAGTAACCAGTAACGAATCCACGTTTAAGAGAACATCGACTTCCACTGCACGCACTTTCTTTAAAAAAAACGCGAATTGAGACAATATTTTTGAAAACTGTATAGTAGTTTCTCTAAGCAACCTCTAAGACTAAAAACATCTCTACTTAAAGTTTTTTCAGAGCATGCTTAGATTTTTCAAAAAAAACTGATTTACTTCTCCTTAGCGATGTGACGAGGTACGAAAAAATGCTTTCATAATCGAATGAAAAGTTCAACATCAATCCCGATTGGTATAAATCATTCTTCAAATTCTCTAGATGATGTTACAAGAAAAATATTTATTTCGGGACTTGATAGAATCTCTAAAAAAACGACTTTTATGAGGAACTTTTTTTGAGAGTCCAGTTTTCTTGAAACCTCCATCATAGATACGACTCGTGTTGTAGAATCTATTCTGAAATTTAACTTGACATATGTCTATACTAAAAGAATTTATTCAGAAACATAACTCTTCTCAAGAATCGAAGTCAGATGAAAAGTGAGTAAGTTCATATATAACTAAATGCGAATGTGCTACTGCAGTGAAAAGTTTTCAAAAAGTCTTATATGAATATCAGCTTTACGTGAAAGTGCAAAAATGATGTTACCACAAGACAACATTTATCAGAATATTTACTGGACGAAATGATATTTCTTGTAACTTTTTAGTTAGTAAAGCTGATAATATCGATGCAGAAAATGGTTGAATACTAGTCCTTGCATATATAGTTGACTATAACTCGAAATCGATCGATAATATTGCTCTGTGGATTCAACATTGATACACTTGTAGATATTTAGATTGTTAGTGATGATAGTTCTCAAAAAGCTCATGTGAAAGCAATTAATATAGTTAAAGCAATGAGAAAACGTAATGTGTCAAAGGATGATATCTAGAATGATAGAAAAGTTTTTACACTCTTTTTATAGATCTTGATCATAGAAAATTGTCTAGGCCGGCGTTTTTCGTATGATGAAATAAAAACAAGAACCAACTCACGATCACTTCTTCGTACTCATATGAATTCAAACTAGATGATTATTTTGTTATATAAGATATGAAAAAAAACCTATTGTATAGTCTATTTATTTTTGTCTACTTTTGATCTTCCATATCAATTTTCTACCATAGTTGACAATAAAAGATTTTCATCATTTAAATAAGTACTTATGAGGTTAGCATTAAAACTTGATATGACTGATTAATTTGATAAAATCTTCCATTGAAAAATTAATTTACTACGAATCAAAATACTGAATAACTGAAAATTTACATTAACAACAGATTTTATATTCGATCTATCAATACATTCGATATTTATTCTGTTTGTTTTTAATTCTTAGTGCTCTATTTTTTTAATTAACTTTTTTTCGAAAACAATATTTTTCATTACCATAAAATCAAAAGTTTTCGATAACATATACACCATTTAAATCCCTTCGTGCTATTGAGTTTCAAATAAAAAGTATTAAGGAACGTTTTTTTTTCCACTATTTCAATAAAATCCTTATATATAATAATAGATGCATACTACTCTTCTCTTCAATAGATTTACATTCAATATTAGATCAATGCTATTTTTACTTGTCATTACTGCTCTTTTTGTAACGCCAATAACCGGTAAAAACACTATGAACAATTGAAACTTATGAATTCTTTTTTTCAAAATAGGCGATACATGTGAATCATATTCTCATCCTCAGTATGGTAAAACTGGCCGGTGTATCAAAACATCTGATTGTCCAGGTGGTCTTTATATATCGAATTTATGTGAAAGTCAACCAAATGATATCAAATGTTGCTTTTCAGCATCAACATCTACTGCTAGTAAGAAAATATTTTTTGAAGATTCTTCAGTCTAGATTTGTATAATTACTTCATCTAGATTGTCCAAGTATTGTTACTCGTTCCCAATGGGGTGCACGACCAGCTAAAAGTCAAACGCCAATGACAACACCAGTACAATATGTCGTTATACATCACACAACTGGTGGTACCTGTACAACTAAAAGTGATTGTATTAGTAAAATGAAAGGTTTTCAAAATTACCATATGGATTCAAATGGCACGTAAATGTTGGAAATAATCTTTTTATTTATTTATTAAGTTTCTGATTCTAGGCTGGGATGACATTGGATACAGCTTTTTAGTAGGTGAAGATGGTAATATTTATGAAGGAAGAGGTTGGACATATGCTGGTGCCCATACGTATGGCTATAATTCAAAATCAATCGGTACGTTTAATTATTTCATAATATTTAAA